TCCTGGGGATTGAATCACACATACTGGGCAAGCACTCTACCAATGAGTTACAGCCCCAACCCCTTATTTTTAATTTTATTCTGTGATTTTAGGGGCTGGGATGTGGCTTAGTGGTAGAGTACTTGCCTCGTATGTATGAAGCCCTGGGTTCAATCCCCAGCACCAAAAACAAACAAAAACAAAAACAAAACAAAAAAACCCTCCATACTTACAATCATATTTATTGGAATTGGGGATCGAACCCAGGTCTTCACACATGCTTAGCCAGAGCTCTACAACTGAACTACACCTCCAGCCCCTAAAGCACATTTTTTTAAATCTGGGGAAAATAAATAGATCTGGGGTTTTATGGGCATAACAAAAAATAAAGATTCATAATTTTAAAAGAACCTTAGAAGATTTAAAATACAACTGAATTGGTAGGCATTTATGAGTGCCTATAAAAGACCAGGTTAACAAACAGTGTGCAAACATGGCCTGTTTATACAAAAACAAAGTACCCAAAAAAGGGAGTGGGGGAAAACAACTAAAAATCCCTGCAGAGAAACCATTGTGTTATGCACACTGGGGCAGGAAATTGCAAGTTTTCTCAGATATTACAAAAGGGATAAAACCTGTTTAAAACTCTGAAATCTCAGCTTTTGACATGTCTTTGCTGGGGAAGGAGATGTGATCTTAAAGCCATTAAAAGTCCAGAAGAAAGGCAATATTTAATATGGTAGTACATTTCTGGACCTATCCCAACTTGTAAGGAGAGAGTAAACTAACACTGAGAAGCTCCTTGTTACTTTAGCTTTTCTTTTTGTTTTGGTATTGGGGACTAAACTTTACCACTGAGTTAAATTTTTGGGGGGTAGTGCTGGGGATTGAACCCAGGGCCTTGTGCATGCAAGGCTAGCACTCCACCAGCTGAGCTATATCCCCAGCCCAAGTTAAATCCTTTTTATTTTGAGAGAGGGCCTTGCTAAATTGCTAAAGCTGGCTTCAAACTTGCAATCCTCTGCCTCAGCCTCCCTAGTCACTGGGATTATAGGTGTGCACTACTGTGCCCAGCTCTCCATTAATTCTTTCTTCTCCCTCAACAATCAACCATGATTAACTATGTGAAGAGTCTCTTGCCTTAGCATTCCACAAATTTGTGTGTGTGTGTGCATGGTGTAGGGTGGGTGGGGTATTCTGGGAACTGTACTCAGGACCTCACACATGTCTAGAACCAAAGTTTTACTCTGCACACAGCATAAGTAGTTAATTCTAGATTTTTTTGGTTTTGGTTGGGGGTGGGGGGATACCAGGGATTGAACCCAGGGGCACTTAACCAATAAGCCACATCACCAACCCTTTTTATTTTTTGAGACAGGATCTTGTTAAGTTCTTGGGGCCTCTCTAAATTGCTAAGGTTGGCCTTGAACTTGTGATCTTCCTGCCTCAGCTTCCTGAGTTGCTGGGATGACAGGCATGCACCATCACACCCAGAAATTCTAGATTATTTTGATGATACTAATTTCTAAAAAGAAGAAAATCACTGATGCACTCCACGATCACAGATTTCAGATGTAGGGTTACATTTGCAGTGGGACAGCCCATGACCACAGTGAAACCAAGTTCAGCAGAAAAGTGTAGAATAGCAGAGAAATTAAGAATAATGGCGGGGGGGGGGGATGTAAAAAAAAAAGAAAAAATAATGGGCCTCCTGTGATGTTGAAATTAAAGAAGGGGAATTTTGATATTGAGTTCAGCAACAAGAACTCGGGCAGCCAAGGGGAGAATAGATGGCTACAACATCTCCAAATCATATTATTTCAAATAGAGTTTCTAAAGGCAAACTGAAAGAAGAGGGAAAAAATAAAGAATCTGCCTAATATTAGGTTATCACAAAAAACATAAATTTGGGAAGTCACATATCTGTTCTTCAACAGGTTATTAAGTTTCAAGAAATGAAAAACATGTTACAGGACTGGGGTTGTAGCTCAGCAGTAGAGCACTCACCTAGCATGTGTGAGGCCCTAGGTTTGATCCTTAGCTCCACATAAAAATAAATAAGTAAAATAAAGGTATTATGTCCAACTACAACTAAAAAATAAATGTTTAAAAAAAAAATGTTACAGACAGAACAATGAAGCTTTCAAGAAACAACTCATAAACTATCAAATTTCCAGGAATTCAGAGGAAGTTGTATAAAAATGATGCCTTAGCCAGGCATGGTGGTGCACACCTGTAATCCCAGCAACTAGGGAGGCTGAAGCAGGAGGACCACAAGTTCAAGGCCAGTCTCAGCAACTTAGCAAAGCCCTAAGCAACTCAGTGAGAGATCCTGTCTAAAAATAAAAAAAATCTTAAAAGGGCTAGGGATGTTACTTAGTGGTTCAGTGCCTTGATTTCAATCCCTGGTACCAAAAAAGGAAAAAAAAAAAAATGATGCTGTTTTCAAAAAAATTTTAAGTAATACATAAAAAAAATCATTCATATTTATTGGGTACTATATGTGATATTTCATTACAAGGACACTGTTTAAATCAAGGTCAACATTATCTCAGGCTAGGGTTGTGGATCAGTGGTAGAACACTTGCCTAGCATGTGTGAAGTACTAGGTTCCATCCTCAGTGCCACACACACAAAAAAATAACTAGATTAAATTAAAAATAAAAACACTATCTCCTCAAAAATAATTTCCTTCCTTCCTTCTTCCCTTCCTTCCTACCTCCCTCCCTCCTGCCACCTCTCTCTTGCTATCTTTCTTTCTTTCTTGTGTGGCACCAGGAATTAACCCAGAGATGCTCTACCACTGAGCTACATACCTGAGTCCTTCCACACCCCCTACTCCCAAGACCAGGTCTCTCTAAAATGCTGCATGCTCGCCTCAAACTGCAATCCTCCTGTCTCAGCCTCCAGAGTCATGGGATTACAGGTATGTTAACCATTCCCAGCTTGAAAATAATGCCTTTTAAAAAAAAAATTTTTTTTTAGTTGTAGTGTGGACATACTACCTTTTATTTATTTATTTACTTACTTACTTACTTATTTTTTTGTGGTACTGAGGATCGAACCCAGTTTCTCACACATGCTAGCTCACATACTGCTGAGCCACAATCCCAGCCCGAAAATAATGTCTTTTTAAGAGCCATTTTCTTCAGTTTGTCATTATCATCGCCATGAGTTACTACAGCTATCTTTTGCCACATTATCAAAAGCAGATAGAACTAATTAAAGTTTCATGACAGTAAGCTCAGGTGAGAGGACAAAGTTCACTGGGACTCTAATATTACTGGCACTGGTCTCCCTTGAGTCGGGATTTTTTTTTTTTTTTTTTTGTCTCTCTCGAAACCTTAAGTAAACAAATACAACAGCCAGTGAAAATAGACACACCCAGAAACTCTGAGTGAAACACTTACTTCATAGTTCACATCAGACTGTCCTATTCCATCTATAGATGGCCTTGTCTGAAACAAAAGATGGCAAGAAAACTCAACCTCACACTTCACCCTTAAAAGGGGAATGAAGGAGGGCTTTCCTGGACACAGACCTTCATCCAGGTGGCAAACACATGCCACACTCATCTGGCTTTCCTGTTTTTTGCTTTATTTTTTGTTTTATTTGCTTTTTGTTTTATTTTGTTTAGGCTCCTTCATTAAATAGTTCAGTTACTCATTTGGCAGATACTTTTGGACCAAGGGACTTTCTGGGCTTTCAGTAAAGCTGGTAGGATTACTAGTATATACTAAAACTAGAACACCAGTAGGACATGCCTGAAATACCACCTACACCGGAGAACGTCAAGTTCCAGGTCAGACTGGGCAACTTAGCAAGCCCCTGTCTGAAAATAAAACTTTAAAATAGGGCTGGCAGCATGTTATATAAACCCTTTCTAATTTGCAAAGATTTTGTCAGGAATGTTTGCATCTGTATCTATTAGGACTGAACTGGTATGTAATTTCTTGTACTGCCTTAATCTGGCTATGGGTAACAGTGACTTCATAGAATGAAGTGTAAAGTGTTACCTTCTTTCCATTTTGGAAGAGTTTACGAATAACTGTTAATTTTTAATTAAATAAATGGTAGAATTCACCAGTAAAACTAAAAGAAAGAAAAAAAAAACAGGGCCAGCAGTACAGCTCAGTGGTAGTTCACTTGCCTAGCATGTTCAAGGCCCTGGGTTCAATCTCCAAACAAAATAAAACAAAAAACAAGTCTTTAATCTCTCTTTGTGGAACAGAAGTATTTCATAGATAACTATCAGTATAGAATTAGTCACTGTGGTTTGTCATGCTTCTATTCATGTAGAAAGTTTAAAATCCTCCCAACTGGACTGGAGATGCAGCTCAGTAGTGGGGCACTTGCCTAGCATGTGGGGTTCCACCCCAGGTGTGGTAGTAGCCAACTGCTACTATTCCAAAACACCCTTGCCAATCTTGACTCAAGACAGCACCCAGGGTGATATTATTTCCTTCAAAGTGAAAGGCAGAGAAACAAAAAGGGGGTAGGAGGAAGACATTGTTTTTCTTTTGCAAAGATCAAGCTCTTTCTACATGATTTCTTTAGAAGTCACTTCTTTTCAGATACTAGACCTGTTCCTTGAAAATGAAAACCTTTTTGGGGGGAGAGGGGAGAAGTAGGGTACCAGGGATTGAACTCAGGGGTACTCAACCACTGAGCCCATTCCCAGCCCAATTTTGTATTTTATTAAAGACAAGGTCTCACTGAGTTGCTTAGTGTCTCAATGTTGCTGAGGCTGGCTTTGAGAGATCCTATCTTAGCCTGCAGAGCTGCTGGGATTACAAACATGGGCCACTGCACCCAGCTGATTTTTACCTTCTAGTAAAACAGTTGCCATTTAACCCATCCTTTCACAGTTCCAAGTAAAATGAAAAGCAACAACTTTTGCAATATACACAGACAACAATTCTAAGCACACAGTTTAACCAAATACCCAAAATTTAGAGTCAGAAACCTGGGGGTTAATAAAAGATTCAAAGTTTTGTTTTGTTTTTTTCCTTTACACTTACCCATTCTTCCACATTGGGTGGCTGCTCCTCATAAATGTGTTCTTTGTCCCACAAAATATTGGACTTGTCATACCGGTCCATCTTTCTTCGAGTTTTCACAGCAAAGAAAATTATTAAAGCAAAAGCCACAATAATCATGAATCCTAGCACAATGGCAATAGCCTAAAAAGGGATTTGAAGACATTGCAGATTAATTTTTATTGCTTAATTAATTACAATCTGCCCTCTACAAGTTAAAATCCTTATCTACCCTAGGACCTACTAAATATTTATGGCTTAATGGATACAATGCTGAAGCAAAACTAACCCACACCCACTAGGCTAAGGCTGGTAAAGCATGCGCATGCACTGCTTGACAAAATCCTCAGAATGTACTTAACCCATTCAGTCCCAAGCTTTCAATTCAGTGACAGTTTTAACAAAATTGACACAGGTGCATTGAAATAAGTTGGAAATCATAATCTAAAGCTGATACATATTATTACATTAATTAATCAGATTAAAATTAATTACAATTTATATATTAACATTATTCTATTATAGTTCTTATGCTTAATATTAATTAATATGATTAATTATATTTATACTTAAATTTTTGTAGGTGTTTAACATCTGGGACAATGGACAAAATGGCTTAAAGCTAGGTATTCTCATCACCCTAGTTTAGAGCTGTAGAAAACTAGTTCTAAAGATTGCCCATGTAGGAAATGTTTTGTTGTTGTTGTTTTTAAATTTCTTTTTAGTTGTAGTCGGACACAATACCTTTATTTATTTATTTTTATGTGGTGCTGAGGATTGAACCCAGCACCTCGCACATGCTAGGCAAGCGCTCCACCGCTGAGCCCCAGCCCCATCCCCGGGAATGTGTTTTTATAGACAGTTTTGAGAATGGCCAGTAAAAGGAATTACAAATATACTTCTAAAGGGCTGGAAAATGCTAATCTCAAAAGTAGCTTTAAGTACCCAATTGTGCTTACAATCCTGTTCATAACACATGTTTGGCAAACATTTTTACACAGAATGTAAATTTTAGTGCATAGAGGATCTGTATAACCATAAATGATCAAGACATGGATCCTGCCAAGCGCAGTGGCACACACCTGTAATCCCAGCTACTCAAGAAGTTGAGGCAGGAAGATTGAGAGTTCAAAGCCAGCCTCAGCAATTTAGGAAGGCCCTAAGCAACTCAGCGAGACCCTGTCTCAAAATAAAAAATATAAGGGCTGGGGATGTGGTTCAGTATTTAAACGCCCCTGGGTTCAATTCCCAGTACCAAAAAGACATGAATCTAATCAAACCATAAATTTGAGCCTTGAATTAAAGGTTCCTTACGTCTGACAGATTCCTGTTTTCAGAGTCTCATATACGTACTAGAAAGGGCCTTGTGACAAAAAACTTCGTATTCTGGATGGTTCTTTCTGTATCTGATAACTATATTAAGCGGTGTGCTGGACTGGGAGCCACTTGAGGTTCAGGCAGGTACCAAGTCTCTGTCCTGGTTATCTACTAAAGGGTAATAGAGGCTCACCTTTCAGCTACCCATCTGACATCCTTTTACAAAGAATATAGGTTTCAAATAAAGGGATGGGAATGTGATAAGACAGGAGTACCAATTCCAGAGCTAGGTCTGAATGGCAGCAACAAACATTCAGAAATACTATATTTGCAGAGAAAATATTCAGTCTTCAAAATAAAGATAGACAGTTTCTGGAGAAAGTCTAACCCTAAAAGAATGACTCATTCAGGTAAAAGAATGGGAATTCCTAAGATAGTGTAAGGAGGAAAAAAAGAAAACAGAAACAAGAGATGAGTAACTCGGGGAAATATTTCAGATGCTAATATAATTAGGATGATTCATTGTTACTGAACAGCAGGGTTCTCAACCTCACCTGTAAATTTGATCTAGAGAGACTCTGAAAACTACAAAACATTTAAAAAAAAACTGAAGGGAATTTACGTAAACGGAGAGACATTCTATGTTCATGAACTGGAAGACTTATCATTATAAAGATGACAAAATTCCCAATGATCAATCTACAAATTCAACACAACTCTTCCAAATCCTAGCAGAATTTTTTGCAGAAACTGATAGAGACTGGTCCTAAAAATTCATATGGGAATGTGAGAGGAACCCAGAATCTAGCCAAAACAATCTTAAAAAATAAAGTCTGGTACTCCCACTTCATGATTTCAAAACTTACTATAAAATTAATGATAAAGTAATCAAAGCAGTGTGGTAGTGGCATAAGGATAGACATATAGATGAACCAAATCAACTAAGACTCCAGAAATAAATGTTCACATCTACAAGGTTTGTTTGTTTGTTTTTCGGTGCTAGGGATGGAAGTAAGGGCCTTGTGCCATCTTGGCAAACTATACCACTGATCTATATCCCCAGATCATAGGATAAATTCTTTTTTTTTTTTTTGACAATTCATGAATAAAATTTAATGAAGAAACAGTACTTTAAATAAATACTATGAAAACTGGATAGTTATATGCAAAGAATTTTGAATCCTTTCTTTACATCATTAACTCAAAATGGATCACAGCCCTAATTATAAGAGTTAATTATACAACTCTGAAAACACAGAAGTTTTTGTGATCTTGAATTAGGCAAATATTCTCAGATATAACATCAAAAGCACAAGCAATAGAAAAAAAACTGAATAAATTAAACCTCATTAAAACTGAAAACTTGGGCTTGAGGATGTAGCCTTATGGCAGAACACTTGCCTAGCATGCACAAGGCCCTGGGTTTAATCCCCAGTACCACAAAACAAAAACAAAAACTATTATGCAAAAGACACAAAAAAGAAAATGGAAAAAGAATAACAAAATGAGATAATATTTACATGTGGATATAAGAGACACATCCAAATATATAAGAATTTTTAGAAGTCCAATTTGGGCTGGGGATGTAGTTCAGTGGCAAAGTTTTTGTGTAGCATGAGTGAGGCCCAGCGTTCAACTTCAAAAAAAGTCAAATTTAAAAATGAGTAAATATTCTGAATAGCCATATCTCCAAAGATCATAAAGAAATGGCCAATAAGTACATGAAAAGATACTCAACAACTTAGCTATCAATGAAAACCACAAGGACACCTATTAGTATGGGCTATAATCAGACAGACTGACAATAACAAGGGTTGGTAAGAAAATGGAGAAATCTGAACCCTTACACCTTTCTGGTGTGAAAATAAAATGATGCCACCTCTTTGGAAAAATCTGGTAGTTCCTCAATAGGTTAAACAGAATCATCATGTGACTTACTAATTCTACCCTTAGATTTACATCCAACCCAAGAGATATTCAAATACAGGTCACATCAAAACTTGAACACCAACATTCAAAACATTATTTGTATCAGCCAGTGAGAAAAAAGCCTGAATGATTATCAACAAAGGATAAACAGAATGTGACATGTACATATACTGGATTACAATAAAAGGTAATGTAAGACTCATACATGCTAAAAACAAGGCAAACTTTTAAGACATCATGCTAAGTGAAAGAAGKCAATCACAAAAGACCACATATTGTGAGAATATATTAAATACACAGAAAATAGACAAATCAGAATTAGTGATTGACCAGAAAGGTTAGAAAACTGAAAACTAACTGCTCTTGGGTACTAGGGACTTTTATTTATTTATTTTTTAGTTATAAGTGGACACAATATTTTATTTTTATGTGGTGCTGAGGATCAAACCCAGTGCCTCAAGCATGCTAGGCAAGTGCTCTACAACACAACCCCAGGAACTCTTTTTGAGATAGTGAAATTATTCTAAAATTGACTGTGGCAATAGTTGCACAATCCTCTGAATAGACTACAAACCAGTGAACTGTTCTTCAAATGGATAGAGTTATACAGTATCTTAACTATATATTAATAATGACACCCAGTATTTCCACCACATTCTGATATAATTAGAAGAAGAGCCTTGGCATCAATTGTTTTGGGGGCGGGGAAGGGCAGGTACTGGGGATTGAACTCAGGGCCGCTTTACCACTGAGCTACATCCCCAATCTTTTTCATTTTTCATTTTGAGACAAGGTCTTGCTAAGCTGCTGAGGGTCTCACTAAGTTGCTATGGCTGGCCTCCAATTTGTGATCCTCCTGCCTCAGTCCTAAAGTTGCTGGGATTACAGGCATGCACTACCACACCTGACCAAAGTCAATATTTTTAAAACATTCCCAAAGTGACTCTATTACATATTTCAAGTTGAAGCCCTTTGACCCAAGTGGATAGGGACAAACAAAACATTATTCATACCTCCTGGGGATCCACCACACAGTAGTGATACAAATACTGATCCACATAGACTCCAGTAACTGCAGGTGTATAGAACTGGTTGCAGAGGGCATATATTTGTGAACTATATAAAGATCCAGAAGCCTGGGCAGTTGGGTTGACTCCCATTATATAGACAATTGTGGCAATAAACACCAGGATACCTAGGATAGCACTCACTATTATCACAGTCAAGTAATATCCTCTTGTTCTGGATATTTCAGATCTTATAACACTGGTAACAAATATTGCCAATGAGGCAATGAAACAAAAGGCAGCCATGGCCAACAGGAAGCCCTTGGCCGCTCTTGGATCCGTATAGCCTCCTCCATAGCCATAACCGTAGCCATAACCATAGCCATAGCTGCCTCCGTAGCCACCAAAGCTACTTCCTCCATAAGGGTAGCCAAAACCACCTCCTAGTAAGCCAGTTCCATAGCCTCTGTCCCAGGCAAGTGTGGAGGCAACACAGGCAAATATAGCAATACACATCACAATAATGAGCATAGACAGAATACGAATCACTCCTGGAGGAGATGTCCATTTGTAGAAGTGAAGAATTTCATCTTCTGGGTAAAAAGAATACGCAGGCTGAGAGAGCATTGGTCGAACATGCATTTCTCCACCATATATGTCATTGCTTGGTGCATAATGATTCGGTTTACTGAAATACATATGAAAAGAACTTTATGTTAGCACTTTTTAGTGTAAGCACAAAGAATATACAAAGCACTTGGAATAATTTTAAACAAACCATTGGTAAATGAAACTATTATTATGGCCCACTGAATCAGCTGAAAAGGATTGTTAAAAGATTTTTTTTTCCAGTTGTAATTGAACACAATATCTTTATTTATTTATTCTGATGTGGTGCTGAGGATCAAACCTAGTTACTCATACATGCTATGCAAGCACTCTGAGCTATAACCGCAGGCCCAGTTAAAAGATTCTTGGTTCTAGCCTGAGTTACTAATTCTGCAGTTCTGAGATAAAACAAGTTTCCAGCTGGTACAGATGTTACCAGCCTTGGAAACATACCTGGAGAATGACTACTCTGTATATACTACAGAGCAGAGGATCTCAAAATTTGCTCCATCTTAGGATCACCTAGAAAATATAAAACTCTCAGATGATGGGCAGGGGATGTAACTCAATCATTTTTGTTCTCATTCTCATATACTAGAGCACTTGCCTAGCAAGTTCAAGGCACTGAGTTCAATACCCAGCATTGAAGGAAAAAAAAAACATCTCAGATGGTACACACCATAAATTGTAATCCCTAGGGTTGAGACCCAGACACTTTTAGAACAATGATATCAACCTTTTTGCCTGTGTGGCACAGGACAGGTGCAATCGAACATAACAACTACACTGGCCTATTCTGGGTAGTTCCTGGCAGCCTCATTCTCCTAGTTAAGAAAACACATTCAGGGGCTGGGGATGTGGCTCAAGCGGTAGCACGCTCGCCTGGCATGCGTGCGGCCCGGGTTCGATCCTCAGCACCACATACAAACAAAACAAAGATGTTGTGTCTGCCAAAAAATAAAATAAATATTAAAAAATTCTCTCTCTCTCTCTAAAAAAAAAAAAAAGAAAAGAAAAGAGAAAAAAGAAAACACATTCATTCTTTCATTCAGTTAACAACTGTTTACTGGAGCTGTCAGGCTGACTTGTGCTGGGCACTGTTCTGGGCAATGGAGTCACAAAACTGAACAGGATACTCTCACTCCATAGTTCAGTGTGTCAAGAGAGTAAGACATTGAGCAAATCACTATACATCTATAGTTATGGCAAGGGTCACAAAGCAAAGTAACTATGCAGTGAGAGCTCATCAGAGTAATGCCTAAGAGGATCTAGAATCTCTCTTTACACAAAATACTCTGGACATCCCAGTAATTTAACCATAAATAGGCTCACTGTGACAGACACACTAAAGTGTGGCTACACTGAATCTTAAGAACTATAAGCCTGGGAGGCAAAACTCAATTCKACACTGATGTCAGCCTCTTTTGGTTTTAACCATCCCCACAAACCATCTTCTACTCCCCAAAGTAAGACATCTTCCTACCAGCTGCTGCTAACCATGATAATTTGAAAAAAATCTGAGTATATGGGAATGAGAACAAAAATGATATGGCAAAACTAGAGAGGGGCACTGATAAGTTGGGTCTTTGAAAATGCCAGGAGAAAAATTCTATAATCCATTCTACTTAGACATTTGGATTGTTTCTGTGTGGGGTATTGTGAACAGTATAGCTCTGAACATCCTTGAATATGTATTCTGGTACAAAAATCACTTATTTTTCTATGGCATATATCCAGGAATACATCTTTGTGCATTTTTAACTTGACTAGACAATGTCAAACTGTTTTCCAAAGTGACTGTACTGATTACACTTTCACAAACAGTATAAAAGTTCACAGTAGCACTGCTTATGGTAAACCCAAACTGGAAAAAGCCCAAATGTTCACCTACAGTGGAATGAATAAATTGTGATATTTCCATATGATGGAATCCTACAGAGCTGTGCTGTCCAATAGGGCCTCTACTAGCCTCAAGGGTCTATCAAGCACTTGAGTAATGCTAGTCCAAACTAAGAAGTACTATTAGATGTGTAAAATACACAGTGGATTTCCAAGACATAGTATGAAAGAAGAATGTATAGTATCCTATGAATCTTTTGATGTGTGTGTGCACTACCGAGGATTGAACCCAGGGGTGCTATTCAACTGAAATAAATTCCTAGCCTTGTTTTTCATTTTGAGACAGAATCTCACTAATCTATCCAGACTGGCCTTGAACGTGCAATCCTCCTGACTCAGTCCCACAAGTCACTGGGATTACAGGCATGTGCCACTATGCATGGCTCATGAATCATTTTTTAAATTTTTTTTAGTTATAGATGGACACAAACTTTTATTTGTTTTTATGTGGTGCTGAGAATCAAACCCAGTGCCTCACATGTGCTAGGCCAGCGCTCTACCACTGAGCTATAACCTCAGCCCCTCCTAAATCATTTTTTAATGTCAATCACTTATTTAAACATTTTAAATACACTGGATTAAGGAAAATGTATTATTAAAAGTAATCTTCCGGGCTGGAGATGTGGCTCAGCGGTAGCGCGCTCGCCTGGCATGCGTGCGGCCCGGGTTCGATCCTCAGCACCACATACCAACAAAGATGTTGTGTCCGCCGAGAACTAAAAAATAAATGTTAAAAATTCTCTCTCTCTCTCTCTCTCTCTCTCTCCTCTCTCACTCTCTCTTTAAAAAAAAAAAAAAAGTAATCTTCCCACACACACACTTTTTTTCTGGTACCAAGGATTGAATACAGAGGTGCCTAACCACTGAGGATCTGGCCAAGTTGCTCAGGGCCTTGCTAAATTGCTGAAGCTAGCTTTGAACTTGGGATCCTCCTGCCTCAGCCTCCTGAGKTGCTGGGACTATAGGCATGTACCACCATGCCTAGCTTATTGCATTTTATTTCTATAGTGCTATTATGATGCAAAAAATAATGAACTATGAATATATGCAGCTATGTAAACAAATCTTACAGGTAATGGCTGAAAGAAACAAGAAAGAATACAGCATTATTATATTCATATGATATTTTAAAATAAGTAAAACTAAACTAACTGTCTGGCATATATTAGGGGTAAAATAATAAAGAAAGTTATTATTTTTCTTTATTAATTTTCAGAATTAATAAGTGAAAAGGAGAAAACCCCAGAAAACATTTGAGGCGTTCTGTTTCTGGACCTGGGTGATGACTGTAGGGATGTTTGCTTGTTTTTATTCATCTTCTAATATATATGTCCTGTGCCTCTTTCCATGTGTATGTTATAGTCCACCACCGTTTGCAAAAGCAACACAAAATAAATATTTGGTAAATGAAGCACTACTCAATTCCAATATCCTCCTACATTTATTTATTTACTTACTTATTTACTTACTTACTGTACTGAGATCAAACCCAGGTCCCCACACATGCTAGGCAAACACATGCTAGATAAGCATTCCACCACTGAGCTACTCTCCAACCCTTCTCCAATATATTTTAAGGACTTCATGATCACAGAAAACTGTGTCCCTACCATGTTCAAGTAACACTAAGGAGTCTGCAGAACTGGAAAACAACCCACATGTGATATTGTGAAATATATATATTTGGTTCTATTCCTTGTTTCCTGGCATACAACTCCTAATTCCTTAGAATTTACAAAATAATAAGTGTTTTTTTGCATGCTAATGAGATGACACATGGCTCACAGCTCCTAGGTAGCTGTCAGGGTCAGGGCTGGTCACATTAAAACAGAGGCATAATTGTATGTTGTATTTTTTAGCCCTACTCCCTACCAGTAGGGAAGGAAAAAGGGGCTGAAGATTAAACTAATCATCAATGGCAATGACTTAATCAATTGAGCCCACACAATGAAGCCTCCATAAAAATCCAAAAGGACTGAGTTCAGAGAGCTCCCAGAAGCTGAACATGTGGGAGTTTCTGAAGGAGACATGCCTGGAGAGGTAGTGAAAGCATCATACCCTCTCCCATAATTCACCCTACGTATCTGTTTATCTGGTGTTCACTAGTAAGAGTAAGGGTTTCCCCGAGTTCTGTGAGTCACTCAAGTAAATTAATCAAACCCAAGGAGGGGGCTGTGGGAACCCCATTTGATAGCAGGTCAGTCAGACCATAGGCCATTAAGTGTGCCTAAGACACATCAGAAGTGGGAGGCAGTATACTAGGACTGTGCCCTCAATCTGTAATCTATGCTATCTCCAGGTAGATAGGTTCAGAGCTGAATTGGAGAACAGCCAGCTGGTGCCTACAGCTGATGCTAGTGAGGAACAATCCCCACACATTTTGATGACCAGAGGTCACACAGGCATTCTCTAATGATTGTGTTGTAAGAGTACAGGAGAAATGTGTTTTTTCCTGTTATCAGAATTAAAGCTACAACTACTTTTAAAAAGAAATTCCTATCCATGTTTGATGTCAAATTTAAAATACAATCCACTGATAAATCCCCAAATGACCAAGGACCCGAGAACCCTCAAATTGACTTGTTTTATATGAAGGCAGGAATCATTTTTAAAGTTTACAATATGGAAAACATTATGCTAAGTGAGGAAGCCAGTTACAAGAGGTCATTTATCATATGATTCCATTTACATGAAATATCCAGAGTAGACAAATACAGAGACAAAAAGTAGGTGGTGGTTGCATAGGACTGGGGTACAGAAAGTGTGAGCTAACAGGAAGGTTTGGAAGATGATAAAATGTTCTAAAATTAATTGTGGTGATTGTTGTTTAAGTTTATGAATATACTAAAAACCAGTGAGCTGTCTATTCTAAATTGGCAAATTCTATGGTGCATGAGTTATATCTCAATAAATCTGTTATTTTTAAAAATTGCAATAKGTTCTCAATAGCCATTTAAATAGTTGTTAATATTGAAGTTTCATATCATGTGTAAAAAAAAAGGAATAAATATACACACAAATATAAACCTAGACAATCCTGAGGCAAACATTAAAAATGGGTGTTAGGAGCCAGGTGTGGTGGTATACATCTGTAATTGCAGCTACTGAGAAGGCTAAGGCAGGAGGATCACAAGTTTGAGGCCATCAAGGGCAACTTAGCAAAACTCTTTTCTCAAAATTTAAAAATTCAGTGATAGAGCACCCCTGGGTTCAACCCCCGTACCCCCCAAAAAAAGAAAGAAAGAAAGAATTAAGGAGGAAGAAAAAAATGGGTGACAGTAGTTGCTTCTGGAGAGAAAAGCTGTCATGCTAGAACTTAAGATTAAAAGAGAAATACTTTTCACTCTGTGTTCCTGGTACAGTTTATTTATTTATTTATTTATTTTTAGTTATAGGTAGACACAATATCTTTATTTTTTTTTAATGTGGTGCTGAGGATTGAACCCAGTGCCTCAAGTATGTGTGGCAAGCGCTCTCCCTCTGAGCCACAATCCCAGCCCTATAGTTTAATACAAGTGCACATATTGTTTAATTTTTAAGAACATTTAATATCCACATGTCGTGCATTCCAGTAATCCCAGTGACTCAGGAGGCTGAAGGAGGAGCATCATAAATTCAAAGCTAGCCTCAGCAACTTAGCAAGGCCCTAAGCAACTTACTGAGACCTTGTCTCAAAATGAAAAATAAAAAGGGCTGGGGATGTGGTTTAGCGGTTAAGCACCCCTGGGTTCAATCCCCGGTATCAAAAAAAAAAAAGAACATTTAATAGATCAAAGTTTCAACATACACATTTTTTTTTCACATGTGTCAGACCTTACTAAAACAAAAAATCTAAAAAATGATTTACTTACAATTCATCAGGTCTATAAGGAGGCGGACTTTCAAAAGGCCTGGATGACATGGCTGATGTCACTGGTCACCTGCTTTAGGATGAGCAATTCCCTGTAGCTCCCAAGATCAGCCAATCTAACAATGACAATAGGGCAATGTCATTACTATTGAGGTTAGTTTTCCTGCATCATGAAGAAAACCTGACTCCAACCCCAAGCAACCATTCATGCTACACTGCCACTTTTACACTATGTAATCACTGAGTATAAGAACTATTTGCCCTGGTATTCCTCATAGCATTATGCTCTGCACATCCAAAGGACACAAGCATCCTTAAATCCCAAGTTCTATTACAGTAATGAAAATTTCATAAATTAGCCTTTTATAGCATAAGTGAAAATATTTTTAAAGTAGTCACCTCAAAGAACAAGGAACTGTAAAGAAAATTTCTCAAAAGTAAATTATTTCATATTGCTTTTGAAAGCTTATTAAAACAAATGTATATGAAAGTACACATAGTCTAGCCCCTCAGTGTAAACTAAAGCATAATCTAATTGATTAAAAAGTTTGCCTTTAGCTGGGTGTGGCAGTGCAGGCCTGTAATCTCAGCCATTCAAGAGCGTGAGGCCAGCCTGATCAATTTATCAAGACCCCATCTTGTTGGGTGTAGTGGTGCATGCCTATAATCCCAGCAACTCAGGAAGTTAAGGCAGGAGAATCTTTTTTTTTTTTTTTTTTTTTAGAGAGAATTTTTTTATTTTTTTATTTTTTAGTTCTCGGCAGACACAACATTTTTGTTGCTATGTGGTGCTSAGGATCGAACCCAGGCCCCAGGCATGCCACGCGAGCGCGCTACCACTTGAGCCACATCCCCAGCCCCTCTTCTTTCTTTCTTTCTTTTTTTTTTTTTAAGAGAGAGTGAGAGAGGAGAGAGAGAGAGAGAGAGAATTTTTTTTTTTTTTTTTAGTTCTCGGCGGACACAACATCTTTGTTGGTATGTGGTGCTGAGGATCGAACCCGGGTCGCACGCATGGCAGGTGAGTGCRCTACCGCTTGAGCCACATCCCCAGCCCCAAGGCAGGAGAATCTCAAGTTCAAGACCAGCCTTAGTAATTTAGCAAGGCCCTAAACAACTTAGCTAGACCCTGTCTCAAAATATAAAAAATAAAATAAAATAAAATAAAATGGGCTGCGCATGTGGCTCAGTGATAGAGCACCCCTGGATTCAACCCCCAGTACCATTAAAAAAAAAAAAAAAAGTCTTTTTCTAAGAAAAAAGCAGAAAGGTTGTTCTAAAACTCCTCAGAGCACAAATCCCTAAACATCTGCAAGGAATTTCACTCAATCAACACATATTTATTAAGTGCCTAAATATACAGAGAAGACTGTGAAAGTTAAGTTTGGGACACCGTTCTCCTTAAGTCACACACACAAAATAGTCATCACTTCAGGAATTATTCAGGGCTGAAATACATGATAAGATACAGTACAGGTATAAATATAAAATACTTAAAGATCCAGAAAATGGGATCCTGGAAAGAAGGAAGGACACCAAGCCTGGGTAGATACTGACATGACTGTGGATGGTTTTGTAGAAGAGAAGAAACCAGGTGGGAACATGTTAGCATGATTAACCTCTTAAAATAAGGCTATAGTGAGAAAAAGGAGTCAAAGTCTGATAGGAGTTTGCCACCTCATTCAAGTAGGAAATAGGGAGCCCATTCAAGATTCTCTTCAGAGGAGATATGAATAAGTTAGAACAAAGAGGCCAGAGTTAAAAGGAGCACCTGGACCAGCTATAACAAAGCCAGGAAAGGTAATGAAGGACTTAGGAGCTAAGAGAGGAAGAAAACAAACATATCACATAAGTACCAATGTGCCAGGCACTCTACATAAAATTCTCATTTCACCCTTAAAACAACCCTGACTAGCCACTTTACATATAGATGCAGAAAGGGTCAGAAAGAGATGTGAAGTAATTATGCTAAAGTCCAGAGGAAGGCAGTGAGTCATTTAGATGTGACTTGAACCCACAAAATGTCATGAGCTTTCCACTACCACAGCATTTAAAAATGAGTTCCATTTGTGATATGCTAACTTTTGGGTGGTGTAGACAATTGGTAGTATGTCCATGAGGCAGTAAGACTAGATATCTTCTGCCTAGGTCCCAGGTGAATCCATGGGCACTAAGAGCTGTCCTGGAAAGACTAGCTACTCTTACCTTAATATGATGAGGTAAACACACAATCCCCAAATCCAAAAAGCTTGAGGTTTCTTTTAGAAAATCCAGTGCTGCAAACCCCAGAAGGTATACAGCACAGTTAGCTATAGCACTTCATGCCTCTCAGGTATAAGCAGTAAGTTATATTCCTTAATATAACAGCAATAAATTCTTTCCAGGAGGCAGGACACTGTGACTCAGACCTGTAATCCCAGTGATTTGGGGAGGCTGAGGCAGGAGGATTGTAAGTTCAAAGCCAGCCTCAGCAACTTAATGAGGCCCTAAGAAACTTAGTGAGACCCTGTCTCTAAATAAAACATTTTAAAAAGGACAGGGAGGACTGAGGATATGTGCTTAAACATCCCTGGGTTCAATCCCAGCTACCAAAAAAAAAAAAAAGTTATTTCCAGGGGACACCAGTAATTACGGAATAGGGAATTCTGAGATCCACCAGAGGTAAATTCCATGAGCAGGAATTTTTGCCTGTTTCATTGATTAAAACATGACTAATATTTGTTGAATGTTTAATGAGTCAGATTGGACCATGGACATTTTTACCTGCAAAGCTTCTTGTGCTTTCAAGATTGAAAATAATAAGTATCAGATCAAATGAATTTTCTAAGGCATTATCCTCAAATGACACTTGAGCAAGATCTATACTCTGAGTATATTAAAGTGTAATATTTTTTCCTTTTCAAATAAAGTATGTGCAATTGTACATGACTTTATTGGGAAGAACAAATCAATTCAAATTCTTTAAGCACTGTTTTTTAGAATCCATAACAATAGCAGGGTATGATGCTGCACACCTGTAATCCCAGCAATTCAGGAAGCTGAGGCAGGAGGATCACAATTTAAAACCCAGGGGTGTTTAACCACAGAGCCATATCCTGTATTTAATTCCCAATATCAAAAAACAAAAAACAACTCCACTTTCCTGAAGTACAACATATAGAAAAATATACAAACCATATGTAACACCCAAATAAATTTCTTCATATTCTAATGGTGAACATACACATATAATTGAGTATTAGGCCAAAATATTATGGTGCTATGAAAGGTAAAAGTCCAATTTTCTTCCCAATTAATGTTCAGAAAAAGGACTTTATAAAAAACTGAATTTAAACATTAAATATGGTAGCCTATTTTAGAAGCTGAATGTAAAATAGTAAATATTGACCTTAGATGAATCTTATCCCTTCTATACCTACAACTCAGTCATTCAAGACTATCCCCCAAATTCCAGGCTCAGTGGTAGGTAGATTTTGAAAATTCTAAATTAATTCAGATTAAGCTGAAGTTGTCAGAAATTCAAACAAAATTCCTTTTCAAACCGCTATTTCCTGGATTCAGAGTTTAGTCGTTATGTCTCCTCTAATAACAGATTTTAGGTTGTGAAACAAATAATTTTAGAAAGCTCATTAAGAACAAGTCATGCCACACCTTTGTTTCTTTTTTGGAGGTTACCAGACTGGTAGATGAAGGAAACACAGAGAAAGAATCCTGGGAATCTTGAATACATGCTTGTATATTGGGCAGATTCCCAAGGGGCTAAATAATAGCATCTACTTAGTACAAAAGAATGGGCCATTTATGCTTACCTGGAGGGAGGTCTATAGTGGTGACCACAGACAAGGTCAGCCAGACAAGCTTATTCAGATTTGCAGCTGATCAAACACTGAACTGGAATAACTAACCCACTGATTAGGGACTCATCAACATTGAGCAACATCTCCATAAAGTCAGAGTTGTAGCAAACTTAGTAGTTTTAACAGCCCCTATTTACTGGTTCACAACCTGAAACAAGTTCCTTATCTTCTTTGAGCTTCAGGGACCTACCTCCTCTGTCAAAGTGGGTCATAATCCTGACCAGTGGGCTAGGATAAGTAAGATAGGTATTAGAAAAGGAGCAAATGCATTCATAGTAAGGCGGTTATTCTTCAAGTGAGAAACTTAAGGGTTTAGGCAGTATGTATTTGCAGGCATGAATACTAATACAAAAAGGGAAATTCAGGGCTGRGGTTATAGTTCAATGGCAGAATGCTTGCTAACATGTGCAGGGCCCTGGGTTTGATTCCCAATGCCACCAAAAACAGTGTTGGAAGTGTAGCTCAGTGATACAGTGCTTGTCTAGGACATGTAAGGTCCTGAATTCCATCCCCAGCACCAAAAACAAAGCAAACTCAATTCAAAAAATCAAGACTGTAATACAGGATAAAGGGGACCTGGCTTAACAGATGTTCATTTGAAAAGTGCATTTCCTTAGTGAACACTACAACAAAAGTTACAAAATTATCCTGAACTTTAGGAGCACTCACAGAAATAATGCTCAGATCTAGGAATGCTACAGTTATTAAATAAAACAAACAAAATTTGAAATCCGTTTAAGTTGTAAACTAGGTAACTCTCCAGGAGGGTAACTAAGATTGTTAAGAACCTTTTAAAAATATATAATTTTAAAAAATAAAACATGTCTGACTGAAAATAATTAGAAAAACAGGAAATGTTTGGCTTGGAGAACTTGACATTAGAAGAATCACTCTGGCAGCCCTGAAATATCTTAAGAGCTGTCTTTGTAGTTCTAGAAATGGTTAAAAACAAAAACAAGCCAAAACCACAGGGGCAGATTTCTTTTCAATGTTAGGAAGTCTCTCTTTCACCCTGACTCCATCACTCTTCCAAGAATAACAAACAATGATTTACATTCATGCCACGTATGCAAAACATGTTATTTGGTGTTATTTTTTGGAGACTAAACTGGGTTGGGGGGGGTATCTCTTACAAGGCAAAGTCTGCAACTGTGGTTTACAGAAACAGCTAAAGGAGAAGAATTCCAGCATAGCAACACTAGGTATGTATTGAGTAAAGGAAAAAATAAAACAAGTGAAAAGGCCACTGGACTTGCCCACTT